GCTTTCTCCCCCGTATTGCCTATTGGGTCTGAACTCCAGACCATGTGGTCAGCAGCCCAATCACCCACCGTACCACCATGTGGTCAGCAGCCCATCACCCACCGTACCACCAAGTCTCCTAAATTCCTAATGAAGCCAAGCCTGTCACTCTGGTCCTAGCCCTGTGCCATGTGAGGGGAAGCCTCTAGGGAATGACACCTGGAGAAGATGTCTGTGTTCCTGGTGAGATTTAGCAAGAAAGAGTGGTCTCCCTGGTCTTTGGGAGAAACGTTAGGGCACGCAGAGACCTGTGGTTCACATGCCAAGGAGCCAGCTGCCCTCGAGTCAATTCCATTGTCATTTTTTTTTATTTTTATAAATTAACCCATTTATTACCGGCCAGAGAGGTTTCAGAGAGTGGAGCTCTACTGGTCTTTCAATCCCTTCAGTCTCTGATGGCGGACTTGACTGTGACAGCAGAGGTGGTGTTGTAGGTCCAGGCTCCACCAGCTGCTGTTTTCATGCAGGAACCGCAGTGCCAGATGCCCACAGCGCGCCTCTTCATCTTGGTTTTGCCACAGAAGGAGCAAGTGTACTTGGCATGTTGGCTGATTTCAATTTTCTCCACCATTTTCCTGAGGGAGGCACTGTAACGGGTCCCGTATTTGCCCACGATCCCGACCTTCTTGGTGCGTTTGGCCATCTTGCCGCAAACTAGTCCCAGGCCAGAGAGGAAAGGACGCAGCGCGCAGGCGTGGTTTTAGGCGGACGGGCGTAAGTCTCCATTGTCATTATTGTTAGGCGCTGCCAAGCTCTCACTCATAGGCACCGGGCGGACAACAGAGTGAAGCACTGCCCAGTCCTGCCCCGTCTCACAGTGGGTGTGTTTGAGCCCGTTGTGGCAGCCACCGTGTCAGTCCATCTTGTTAAGAGCCTGGTTCTTTTGCTCTGTCCCCCTGCCCCCTCTCTCTCTCTTTTTTAAAAAACCAAGCATGATGTCCTTTTCCAGAGACGGGTCCCCCTGACGAGATGCCAAACGTAAGTGCGATGGAATACAGCCACCCTTGCCTCTAAGGAGCACTCTGGTCAATTCCAAGTCAGGAACAAATCCGCGGGGGAAGAGCAGCCACAGCGCTCCTTAGAGGCAAGGATGGTGAGCCTTTGTGTCGTGTCCTTTGGCTGTGTGTCAAGAAGAGAGCCCGGTCCCTGGAGAAGAACAGCATGCTGGGTAAAGGGCTGATGCTGTTGCCAGGTACCATCTTAATTAGGAGCAGCTGGTGGGTTTGAACCACTCACCCTATGTTTCACAACTCCACATAGGTAAAGGCGCCAGATCCAGGACTGGTGGCCTACTCCTGCAGCTTCGAAAAGATCCTGGTGGGCCAGTAGTCACTTATTTCAAGAATCAGACCTACCCCCTCCCCTCCCACAAGATCCCGCCAACACAAGCACCCGCATCTTACATATGAGAGGCCGCTTGTGCGTCTTTACATAGGACTGGCTAATTAGCTCCTTAGCCGTCTTTAAAAGGGAAAAGGAAAATGAGACAGGGGGCGTCTGGCATTTCTCAGAGAGCTTTGATCGAAGGAACGTCTGAGCATCTCATGTTACTTAACAGGGAATTTCCGGGACTGGATTCTCCAGCCTTTGAAACACGCCCATTGGAGTACATGATGGGTTTGGGTTGGGGGCTGCCTGGGAATGCTGGAGCCTTGCTGCGGACGGCTTGTTTTCTTGGATTATCAGGATGCATCCAGCCCGAGTCTCACCCTCCAAATGCTGGAGAGGCGGTGCCCATCCCGGGGCTGTAGGTTGTGTGCTGTTCAAATACACATCAGTGAGTTGCTTTTTCAAACACAAAACACATGCTTACATGTTCGTGGGGACATAGGCTGTTTCCTCTTCTGATTTCCTGCATGTTTTATTGAGGTACAGGAGGAGTCCAAGCTAACAGAAGCGATTTGCCTCGGCCGAGGAGCAGGACCATGCTACAGCTTAGGTCACTGCTATTTCGGGAGATTTGCTATGTGAAAATTCCTGAAGCATCCCCTAGTCTTGGCACCAATTCTCAGGTGATGTTATTGGATGCGTGTTGGACTGCCAACTGCAAGGCTGATGGTTCAATCCCACCAGCTGCTCCTTGAGAGAAAGATGAAGCTTTCTTCTCCTGTGGAGAGTCGCAGTGCTGGAGACCCACACTTCTGTTCTGTCCTGTTGGCTCCCTGTGAGTCGGAACTGAGTCGAGGCATCAGCATCAAATTGGTGATGGGGACTTGGCTTTGGGGTTTGGGCCAGGTCACGCTGGATCCCAGCCTACACGGTACATGCAAGGGGGCTTCGAGAGCTCCTGGGAAAAGGGAGTGAAAAGATCTTGGGATTTGTTTCCACAAACTTTTTGACGCTCCCTCTGATTAACTCCTTTTGGGTTAACCTTTATTTCCATCTCACATTCTCTCTGTCTGTCTCTGTCTCTCTCTCTCTCCCTTTGCAGATAAAGACATTCTAAGTATGGTTTCCCCAAATGTCTTGTTCATGCACAGTACAACCAACAAAGGCCGTGAAAGGGCCGCTTTGCCAGTTAGATGGAGGCTTTTGGATTCTCCTAAGCTGTTTATTATAAGGAGCCCTGGTGGCACAGTGGGTTACAAGGTCAGCAGTTCAAAACCACCGGCTGCTTCAAGGGAGAAAGATGGCGCTGGTCGGCTTCTGTGAAAGTTCACACCCTCGGGAACCAATGGGGCAGTTCTACTCTGTCCTGGAGGGTCGCTGTGGGTCGGAATTGACTTGGTGGCAGGGAGTTGTTTTAGCCTTTGTTCACTTCCAGCATCTACAGCCACCCCCACCCCCCCAGCTTTACCCCCTAGCCCCTGCCTGGATAGTCCTGCAGCCTCATGTTAAATAGTTAGCGCCCTCCGTCCGGGTTTCCAGCTTATTTGAAAGAAGAAAGGTTTTATGTTTCTGGTAAAAGATGAAAAATAAAAGCATTCACCCCCTTGCGTGGGTGGGGACGCAGGGTGGCAGGGAAAGTGATTCGAAGACACCTGTTGGCAGTGGCCGGGTGCCTGCCTTCTGAATTCCATCCCTGGTGATGGTCGGATGGCTCCTTTATTCCTTCCAGGTGCCACGCAATCCCGCTGGCGGATCCCCTGCAGGCGCACAGATAAGACAGGCGCCCTGGGCAGCCCCCAGTGTTCAAGGGAGAAGCCCCATCCCGTGTGTGCACCCGCTGTTTAGAAATCAACCCACTCTGAGGAGCCTGGTTGAGTGTGGGTTCCGTCAGAGTTTGAGGGAGTCGGTTCTGGCCCCAGAGTCCCTGGCGGTGCCGGTGGCAAGCATACTTGGTTGTCAGCAGAAAGTGGAGGTGCTAGTCCAGCCCCAGAGCTGCAGAGGAAAGGGCTGGCCATCCTCTTCTGAAAACCCGACAGAGGAGAACCAGGAGTCTGCGTGGGCTTCATGATAGTTGGGTGGGCTGTGTGGCTTGCCCTCCTCCCTCCGGGCCCAGGCTCGGTGGCTGTGCTGGCCCAGGCTGGCTGCACTACAGAGACGGGAAGCAGGGCGGAAGCTAGAATCAGAGATGGGAGAGGGGCGAGGGCAGTGAGTGTGCTGCGATGCTTGCAGAAAGAAATGGAGGTGAGGAGCTCAGGAGGCCATGCAGCCATGAACAAACTACCTGAGCAGGCCAAGGACCAGAAGGGCATGCTGTCCGTCTCAGAGAGGGTCCCGTGGAGGTGACCTGCAGGTGCCAGGAAGGCAAAACAGGCCGGGGAGCAACCAGCTGTGAGTCAGTGGGTCAGGCGGCCACCATCTCCTGCCTGGAATCCATTCAGACTCTGAGCGATCCTCTAGGACAAGGGAGAACTGCCCCATGAGGCCCCGAGACTGTCAGCTATTCAGAGGCAGATACCCTTTCTCCCATGGAGGGTCTGGTGGGTTTGAACGCCCCACCTTGAGTTTATGTTGGCTTTTTAATTTTTTAATCGTTTTATTGGGGGCTCTTACAGCTCTTATCACAAGCCATCCATCCATTGTGTCAAGCCCATTTTGTACCTATGTTGCCATCATCATTTTCAAAACATTTTCGTTCTACTTGAGCCTTTGATATCAGCTCCTCACTTTCCCCCTCCATCATGAACCTTTGATAATTTATAAATTTTTTTTTTCATGTCTTACACCGACTGCTGGCTCCGTTCACCCACTTTTCTGTGGTCTGTCCCCCCGGGAGGGGTGGTTCTATGTCAATCATTGTGATCAGCCCGACCTTGAGGTTGAAGTCCAATGCTTATCCTACTCTACCCTCATGCGCTAAAAAAGAAAACATTACCACGTGCCTTGCAAACATATATTTTGATTTAATGTTTTCAGAAGCAGCGATGTCCATGCCTCTAACCAAATAAAAACAAGAAGTCAAGCCTGGCCTTCTGGGCTCCACCCAGCTGCTGGACTACGCTTGCTTTCCGAGGCGTCAGGAGTGCTTGCTCTCCTCTAGATGTGAAGCCCTGGACCCCCTTTTGCAGCCCCCACCAATGCTTTCAAGCTGATAACCTGCCCCCGGGACAGATGGGCTGTAAGCAGTATTTTGTAGATCGTGTGTTAGCCGGATTGCTCCTTAGAATCGAGGATGGAGAGACCTTATCTCAGATTCTCTGGACACATTATCAGCAGAGACCAGTTCTCCGGGAGGAACTTCATGCTTGGTAAAGTAGAAGGATGGCAAAAAAGAGCAAGATGGATTCACTCTGTGGCTGCTGAGATAGGCTTCAACATGGCAACCATTGTGAGGATGGCACAGGACTGGGCAGCGTTTCATTCTGTGATGAGTCACTTCAAATACATCCCGAGGCTCCTTAGGAAAAAACCTTGGCAGCCTACTTCTGAAGGTCATAGCCATTGTAAACCCCAAGGAGCCCAGGTCTAGCCGGGAAGGTCACCGTGAGTCCGAATCAAGTCGATGACAACTGACACCAGCGGGAAATAACAGTAACACGACACAGCAGCAATGAGCACTAACACCAAACACGAACTGACATCATAAGTGAGCAGCCAACCCCACACAGAGCACAACCACCAACAAGTAAGACCAACCAACAACCAACAGGAACCACTAAGCAACACCAACAAGGAAACACCAATGAACAGCCAACCCCACACAGAGCACAACCACCAACAAGTAAGACCAACCAACAACCAACAGGAACTACTAAGCGACACCAACAAGGAAAACCAATGAACAACCAACCCCACACAGATCACAATCAACAAGTAATGCCGGCAACAAACGCCAACTAGCGCCAATAAAGAACACAAGTAAGCAACAGACCACTAACAACACACAAACAGCAACAAGTCGCAAGAAACATCAGCTAACAACAGATAATTAACAACAAGCAACTATCCGCCAACAACACAGCAACAAACAGGTGATAACAACTAACATCAACAAACAACAAGCAACTGACCACCACCAACCCAACAAACATCAACTAGCAAACAGCAATGAACAACACGAATAAGCACAGTCACTAACCACCACCACCACCACTACCAACCACAGTCAGCAGCGTCTAGCCCTGTCGCCCCTTCAGCTGGGTGGTCACTGCCTCTGACGGTCAGTCTGAACAGCCTGGTCAGTTTGGTTCTCTCAGAGCTCAGACCCAGCGGCGGGGCCACAGGAAAGAGCGTGCTGCCGAGAGAGGCTGCCTTCTCCAGGAAAAGCACCCGGGGAATGAAATGTGGAAGGACCCAGCTGTGAAGTG